AAGGCCCGACTTGTTGTTCTCGGCTATCAAGCTCCGAATCTGGTTGAGTCCCAGGTGAGTTCCCCGACGCTGAGCAAGCTGGGCAAGCTCCTCATTCTGAGCATCGTCGCGAACAACTCCTGGCTCCTCGAAAGTGCTGATGTTTCCAGCGCCTTCCTGCAGTCGCTGCAGGACATGGAAAAGGAGGACTTGTTCGTCTATGCGCCAGCTGAGCTTGCAGCAGCGTTTGGGGCAGATGGCTCTCAGGACACAACCATCCTGAAGCTTACCCGAGCCTTCTACGGTTTGTGCAGTGCTCCAAAGTCTTGGTATGACACGGTCACCGCCACTCTGAAAGCCTCCGGTTGGACTCAATTGGAGTTTGATCGCTGCTTCTTTATCCTCCTGAACAAGGACAAGCAGCTCGTTGGCGTGGCAGGTTTTCACGTTGACGATTTTCTTCTCGGTGGCAAGAGCGGAGATCAAGACTTCGAGCGCGCCAAGGCCGAGCTCCTTTCCTCTTTCGAGTGGGGCAAATGGGACCAGCGAAACTTCGAGTTCGCCGGTGCAAACTTGACTCAGAAGGAGGACGGCACGATCTTCCTCGACCAGAAGTCCTATACAGATAAATGGGTGGAGGAAATTCCAATCAGCAGCGAGCGAGCCAAGCAGGTCAAGTCTCGAGCGACTCCCTCCGAGGTCAGTGAGATTCGCGGCGCCTTGGGAACAATTTCATGGCGAGCTCATCAGGTGTCTCCACAGTACCTTGCTGAGGCTGGTCTGCTGCTCAGCGAAGTTCCCTCGGCCACGGTGGACACGATCCTTCGAGTGAACAAACTGGTGAGAGAGATGAAGAGGAATGCCGAGCAGACCCTCATCTTTCACCCGTTTGGGCTTCCGTGGCAACAGCTCATCGCCGTCACGTGCGCGGATGCAGCTCAAAATAATCGCTGCAACAAGGGGAGCACGATCGGCATTCTGACCTGCCTCGCTCCAAAGGCCATTCTTGATGGCCAGGCTGTGGCTATGAATCTGGTTTCGTGGAAATCCTCGAAAGCACCTCGAGAGGTGCTGGGCTCCAACGGCTCGGAAGTTCAGGCGATTACGATCGGCGAGGACATCAACTACCTCGTTCGTTGTGCATGGCTGGAAGCACATGGCTTCCCACCAGTGCGGGGCGAACAAGCAAGCATGGTTCGCAAGATGACGACGGGTGCCATCGTCATGGATAGCAAGGGCATCTTCGATGCCATGACCAAGAACTGCTCTTCCCTACATGGTCTTCGCAGCAGCAGGGCCGGCTACGAGCTGACGATCTCGGTCAAGCAGGCGGTTTCTGCAGGGACCCACATGCGTTGGGTGGCGGGGACTGAACAATTGGCGGATGGGCTCACGAAGGCCAAGGCTCGTGGCATCCTTCTTAGGCTGCTCGGTGATCAGCAGCGATGGCGGCTCGTTTACGATCCGGAGTTCACTGCGGGCCGGAAGCTCTCAAAACGAGAGCAAGAAAAGCGCATCCGCGAAGTGGAGCAGTCTTTCGTAGCTGCCGTACAGGACCTTGCGAGGCAAGGCAACTTTCCATGGGACGACGTAGCAGAGCTACCTGACCCCGAGGACCTCACATTTGAAAAGCTCAGGAGTATGACCGGTGCGAGCACCAGAGAGAGCGAGCAACATGTGAGTTTTTAATGTGTGTTCCGAAGCGCACGGGGCTCGAGACCGAGCTAGCAGCTGCGGCAGAAAAGAAAGGGCGTTGCGAGCCTTTTTTTGTGCAGTGGCATCTGCGAGCCACTTTCACCCCGCAAGCCCGTGGTGTCCCGCGGTCCTCGTAAAAAGGTCCAGCTCCGTGGGTAGCCAGCAGCTCCTTCCACAGCGACAGCCGCCTGTGCAGCTCTCGCCTGAAGGCGTGGGAGCACAGAAGGGTTTAGGGTTTAGTTGAGCAATAGGGAGCGTGAGGTTTGTTGCTGTCTTCACATGCGTCCCTTGTTCCCATAGCCGTGGAAGGATGTCCGGCGGCATGGAGTTTGAGAGCTGTGGAACTGAAGACTTGATACACGGTTTTGAAGGAAAGTTGGGTCAAGGCTTCGTATGATTCGGATGGGCACAGCAGCAGTTCGGATGGATGGTGCTTCCAATCGTCGAAGCATTGCCACCGCAGTTGAGTGCCTGATTTGCCTGGTCCCTCATCTCATTGCCAGGTCTTGAGGAACAGTTCCGCGCAGACTTGCCGGCGACTCCCTCGCCCTCCTCCTTTGCCATGACAGATGCGGTGGGCTTGTTTCTTTTCAGCGCGACTTGCGACACTGGTGTTTGCAGCTACTTTCCCAGTCTGGTCCCAGCGTCAAGAGTGCTCTGGTAGAAATCTCCCTGTCGGTGCAGGACACAGGTCTCTGCCAGAGATGAGGGCAATGCTGCTTCTTCTGCAGCAGAGGCCGTCGTGAAGGCGTGGTGAAAGTACTCGCAGCAGCGTGGTTTTCCCGGTCGCGCTGTTTATGTTGCAGCGACGTTTTCAGGAGCTGGCCATGCAAAGCGAAGCAGAGGACGTTGCATGTTCGCATTTTGCCGTGGAAGTTCCCGCTCAATGATTTGATTTCAGCACGTTGTTCCGGTTCTGCCTTTGTCAGCGCAGGACCAGGCACAGGCCTTCAGTCGGCGTGCGATCGAGCTGAGAGCAAACGCGACAAGTCTGGCAAAGGCCATCGAGAGGTTGCTTGAGAGCTCGGAGAGATTCCTGATTCGCCATGTCTACTGATGCGTTTCTCACTGAGCCCATTACCAAACCCCTTTACCCCAAATGCTCGACACCCCCGCAGCCAGGTTTCCTCCCAGCGTGCTTTGCGGGCCGGGGCGACGGCCGGGGAGGCCAAGGCGGGTCGCCACTGTGCATGCACGTGCTTATCCATGCATAATCATGCATACATGTGCTATGTACGGGTGCACGGGCATAAAGCTCAGAGGTAGGAGAGGATAACTAGAGGGCTTGAGGTGGTCGCTGGGATGGTTCACGAAGGCAAGGTGTTATCAGTGTTCTGTAGGTTGCAGAAATGCATAATCGTAACAACGAGTTACTTGCAACTTTGGTCAAGAGTTTGCAACAAGAGAGTCGACTAGCGCATGACGACACGATCCGATGAAAGGAATGTCGTAGTTATAGGAGGAACCACGCAAATGAAAAGCCATGCTGTGCCAACACAGAGGAGGCTCCTGCTACAGCCGTAGGCCCGCGAGTTGATCCAGCAGCTTGAAGCGATGGAGCAGCGAGCCGCAGAGGCCTGCCGACCGGAGCTGTTCTGGATGCAATGGGTTCAGCGGTCTTTTGGCGAGTTCTTGCTGATGGTTCCTTGGTGTCGGTGGGAGCTTGCTGGTGTCAGAAGGCTTGCAGACAAAAGCACCGTCGTCAGTACTGTTATCATAATCGTCGAGTCGGGACCCCTGCGGTCTTTTAGATCCCAGAACCGCACGAGCCTCAAGGCCTTTGCTTCTTCCAAGCACCATTCCAGCGGCTCAGCAAAGGCGGAGGCGCAGGCAGCAGCGCTGCGAAAGCGTGCAGATGCCGAACTGCAGCAGGCGTGCTCAAGGATAGAGCGGTTTCGGCTGTCTTTGAACTTCGAAGACCTTCAGGATGTCGTTTCGACAGCAAAGTTTGCATCCCCAAGTTACTGTTGACCAACTCAAGCATTCTTTGCGTGGCTTTGCGAATGCTAGAGCTGCTAGAGCAGGTCGTCAGGCTTCCAGTAGCCGAGTTACGCGAAGGGGCTGAGTCGACGCGAACATGTCGCTGAGGCGGTGTGAAGGGTGGATCCCACACTGTGACACTGCGAAAACAAAAACCTTTGATGAACCGGAGGTAGAATGGTAGCATTCCTTGCTGTCTTGCTCGGGCTGACCCGGGTCTTGACCTTTGCCAACTATCGAGACGCCAGGGTGGCATGAAAGGGTTGAAGTCGTGACGTGTCTGTTCTATGCCATTGGTGCGATGCCCCAATCTCCGCATCACATGAGCTTCGCAGTCGGCCCTGCAGGAAGGTCCTACAGTGTAATCTGCTCACTCAGTGATGCATCACCCAAAGAAGTCTCCAGCAGAGAGTTTGATTTCGGGTTTTCAGGCTGCCTGTGCAATTAAAACTACATGTTGCGTTCATCTTAGTTACATGCAGAGGCGAGGCCCCCAGTGCGACCAAGGCGGATGACTTTTCCTCAATCGCCAACTCGGCCATGAAAGTTTGAGACTCACCCGGCAGCTAGTAGGAGTTTCCAGCCGCGGATTCCCTGGGAATCCGATGGACGGCGTCACACGCGAGGATGAGAAGTACATCTCCTCAGAGCCGAGGGTCCTGTACACTGTACACTCCAGCGCAGGAGGGCCAAAACAAAGGGCTTCTGTGTTCGAGCCCTAAGCACACTGTGCTCTGCCGTCGACTTGTCGTGAGAGCTGGGCTGTTGGGATGAACTCAGCTCCAAACTCCCTATGCTTCTGTGTCTCAAGGCTATGTTTAGAGGGCCCTCGCAGGTTGCAGAATGGATCCTGACATGTCGTACAACGAGCCCGGCACGAAAAACGATACTCATGATACTCATGTCGGATCAACATCTTGGAGATGACTTAGTCAGACTTTGCCATTTGATCACAGTGCAAGCTCCTTGCCGTCCTTGATTCGTCTAGCGCATCGCTGAAGAACAGTGGCGCTCTGAGGGTCTTGGAGGCCCACTTTCGGACCTAAGGCGTGGCTAAGACAGCGCAAGTTGGATGCTGTTTCTGAGCGAAGTGCAGCAGTTTGTTCTGACGGGAGGGACCAACTGATCTGCCCAAGGAGGCTGTTTCGGTGCGGAGCACACCTTCGCAAGCATCATAGGAAATGCCAGAGACTCAGGAGACTGCTCCATTGAATCTGCTAAAGACACAGCTTTTGAAGCACTGGCTGCTCACGTGTCCTGGCGGTAGAACCGTGTCCGTGTGGGTCATCATGCACGTGTTCAAACACGCAACTCGTCAGAGAGTGCAATGCCATTTCCACCCAGGCATGACGTATAAAGAAGAAACTGCTCGGGGCTGAGTGGGTGTCGTTGGCGCCAAACTGTGGACATGGCACTGCCGCGAGCATGGTGAGTACGTTTGCCTGCATTGCCACACCAGGCCGAAGCTCGCCACTTGGCGTGTTTAGACGAAGATGCGCTGAAGGACAGCGCCACTTGATCCAGACTTGCACTCCGTAAGAAGTGCACCTTCGACTTTGACGCACAGTTCGCGAGACTCTTCCGGTGTTCACGTGGTCAGAAGTATGTTGCCTGTGATGGTTGTGCGAGGACATCACTGCGCCGGCGAATCTGAACAGCTTCCTGGCTGAATGGCTGAACGAGTGACTCAACATGGTAGCAACCCTGGGACAGCACGTGTATCGCGGCGCACGGAGGCGGCGAGCTCCAGGACTTCGCTTCGTCAGGGCAGCTCTGCTCTCTGCTTGCTGAGGGTGTGCGAGTCCAAGTGGGGAGGTTTGCAAACGTGAATCGATGATCTTCCTTTTCTTTCCGGACATGCTACGAACGACCGTGACCGACAACTCGTAGACTTTTGGGGCTCCAGCAGCTGATTTAGGCCTGGCGTGCCCTGCCTTTTGCTGGAGGAGTAACATTCATTATGGCTAGGCGCTTCAAAGCTGTTTGAATGTGGTGCAGTCCACAGGTACTAGTGCACAGGCCCAGGCCCTTCGCTTTGGCATCTGCTATATGGCCGAGCGAAACGTGAACTGGCAAAGCCAGCCACACGTGTTACCTCTTAGACTCCTATTCATCATGTGTGGGAATATTCGGATACTGAGGGCAGGACATGGTTGAGTGACCTTACTAGTTCACTTGCTTAGGGATTTGGCTCCGTTTCGGTTTATTTCATGGTCTAAGTGGGTGCAATTGAAAAGTCCGTTCTACCATGAAGGAACTGCTGCCTGGAGATCACGTATCGGACAGGTGGCCCAGTCCATGTGCTTCCACAGTTATGATTTGTATCATCGGGGCACCAAGACAAAGGCTCTAGGTAGTCGAGTTTTTGTGTTTCTCCTCCAGCCATTCACAGAAGGCAGGCACAGAACGTAGCCGAGCTTCGGGTGCGATCGCCCAACGTGCGATACACCACAAAGCTGGCGAGCAGAGGACCAGGCGCGCACGATTGTCTCATCGTGACGGGTGCTTCTCGTTCAGAAAGCCCTTTCAGCCATCCATTTTTCCCCCTGAAGCATGAAGTCGGTAGTGAGTTTTTGTGAGATGCACCCATCCCGTTCCTGCCCCCTTTTGCACACTCCAACTTCGAACAGCGTCCTCCTTCGCAGACGAGAAGCTGCTTTGCAGTTCAGGCGACTCTGCCCTTGTATTCTGTGCAGGTGACAGCTGATCAGGATGGAGGCCGGGCCAGAACCTCCACACATCATTTCAATCATTTATAACTATTTCAATGTTTCTTGCAGTGCGGGAAACAAGAAATGAGCCGATTTCTTCGCGAACGTGCTAAACTAGCGCTCATAAGCTTGGCCAACTGCTCGGCAGGCATTTGCCACCGGAGCCTCCACGGCACTGGACCTCGTAACGTGGCAGTCTGGTTTGGAGAGGGGTGCGATTTGGCTCATGATCCAGCTGTACCAACTAAGGTAACTCTGAGCGCTCTCGCTCCTCGGCAAGGAACATCGGTGATGTCAAGAACACACCACGCAAGCATATGCGAAATAATTCAAAGTACTCACGTCAAACCAGTCATTGCCAAGGTCATGGTGCGTTGCTACATCGGACAATGCTACAGGGCACTCACTGCATCCGAAGTCAAACGCGAAATCAAGGCCACGTGGCAATCTGTGCTAGATGAGAGAAGCAGTGTTCAGGACCTCTAAACACTTCAAGTCGCCTGCATTAGCACATGTAGGAATACAGGATACGAAAATGTCCCTGAAACATCCATGCAGGCAGTGTGTTGCTGGGTCGAGCGCTTCACGATGGTCCTTATCGCTCTTCAAGCATATGCCGCCCGACTGCAGTGGTCAGCAGGATCGTGGCTCACGGGTCACTCATGCTGTCATCTCCACCGCCGCTCAAGCTGACATGCTTTGCTACTATCCCCGCTCGATCCTAAATATCCTAAAGAGTCGCTCAAGACGTGAATCCAAGAGCAGTTCAGCCCTGTCACACCCTGGTTAGGCACTTTTCAATGACGCCTGGCAGCTTCGCAGCACTAGTCGGCCTGAACAGGCTATGTCTTCATTCCTGTTCAACGATGCGTGCACGCATGTGCGAAAAAGTTATTGGCATGTGGCACGTTGGTGTGCCATCAACGTTAGACTGTAATATGCCAGTAAGACGGCACAGCGTGCGCAGGTATAATGCACAATCGAGTTCTGTACCTCACGACAAGGACGCGCACACACAAACAAACAAACACACACACACACACACACACACACACACACACACACACACACACACACACACACACACACACACACACACACACACACACACACACACACACACACACACACACACACACACACACACACACACACACCACACACACACACACACACACACACACACACACACACACACACACACACACACACACACACACACACACACACACACACACACACACACACACACACACACACACACACACACACACACACACACACAGACACACACTCACTCGTGCACACACACACACACAGACACACACACACACACACACCCACACATTCTTCTTCATATAGAATAGTTAGCATAGAACAAAATAGAATAGGATAGACAGCTCGATAGATAGACAAACAGATAGATTCATCGGTCGTCAGATAGACAGGCAGATAGATAGGTACATGAATGAAAGAGACGGCGACGACTACTACTGCCACGACGACGACGAACTACCACCACGACTACCAGTAGTACCACGACTAGCACTTCCACTACTACTACTACTACTACCACCACGACGACGCCGACTCCTACTGCTACTACTACTACTACTACGACTACTATTACTGCTACTACTGCTACTACTGCTGCTACTACTACTCCTACTGCAAGGTCTCGCTGGGAATCTAGAGCCGATCATAGCCGATCAATATAGCAGCAAACTTGGTCAATTTGCAGACTTGGAAAAACTTGCCAAGCTTGCCCATCTTGGTGGGCGGGCAAGACAGTGCAGAATCTTGGTAATCTTGAAATCTTGGTCGTCCAGGGGGGTTGCAAGATTGCCGGTCAATGTGGCCAAACTTAACTTACAATCTTGAAAAGTGGTTTTCCGCTTTAGGGGTAAGGGCACGGTATTCTTGTAATCTTGTAATCTTGCACAGGGTTTAAGGTTAAGGGTTTACTTTACTATGGGGACGGCAAAAAGCAAGATTACAAGATTCTGCGCGACTTTCCCCTTCCTATCGGACTCACCACCAAGATGGGTAAGCCTGCACGTCAAACTTGCCTCCCAAGGCAAGCCGAGCGAGCTTGCGTACCATGTTGAACCCTCCCAAAAGTCTTGAACATGGAAAGGATTGTACACGAATCTTGCCCCAAGATGGGCTCTAAAATCCCCACCACACAGTACTAGTGCCGCTACTGCTACAACTACTACTACTACTACTACTAATTACTTCTACTACTGCTAAATTACTACCTCCTAGCTTCTACCTACTACCTACCACCTACTACTTGCTAATTACTAACTACTACCTACTCCCTACCACCTACTATTTACTACCTACCACCTACCACTTACCAACTACCACCTACCACCTCCTTACTGCTTGCTGCTTATTGCGTACTACGTACTATGTGCTACGTACTATGTACTACGTACTACATACTATACTTATTACTACTTACTACTCACCACTTACTACGACGACGAGTACCTCTGCTACGACGACGACGACGACTACTACTACTACCTTGTGCCGGGAAACGAGGCCGTTGCTTGCGACCAAGATTTTGCTAATCCTGCTAATCTTGCCCATCTTGGTCCGCAAGTGGCGCAAGTGGTGCAAGGCAAGATGGGCAAGATTACCAAGATGGCCCCCCCACCCCCCAAGTGGTGCAAGTGGTTTTTGGCAAGCTTGCTCGCCCATCTTGCCCCCCCCCCACCTCCAAAAAAATTAAAACGATGGGCAAGATTGCAGTACAAACTCGGCCCTCGTTTCCCGGCACACTCTACTACTACTACTACTACTACTACTACTACTACTACTACCACCACTATTACTACTACGACGACGGCGACTACTACTACTACTACTACTACTACCACTACTACTACTACTACTACTACTACTACTACTACTACTACTACTACTACCACTTCTTCCTCTACTTCCTCTACTTCTACATCTACTTCTACTGCTAGACTGAGCAGTAGTACTGGTAGCATTACTACTACCACTACTAGAACCACGACCACTACCGCTACGACCGCCGCCACCATCACCAACCACCACTGCCATCACGACCACCGCCACCACTACACCGCCGAGGCTGCCACCGTGATCGCCACTACTGCCGCCCCCACCGCCACCGCCGCGCCCACCGCCACCACCACCACCACCGCCCCCACCACCACCACCACCACCACCACCACCACCACCACCACCACCACCACCACCGCCACCAAACTTTGCGCAGATCAGTCGCTAGCAACACTGACAGAAGAACTATCTCTCCTGCCTGTAGGACGCTCTCAAACACACTATCCAGTGATCCGAAACACACCTTGGTATAAACGCTCCAACGTAAAAGGCTGTTTCTTGCGGCGTGCTCGTTTGCTGTCTCAATTGCGTAACAGCTTTTATAATTGGACTTGGCTTCCTGTCGAGTTTCTGGTGATCCAATGGCCGAAATTCTGGAAGCAACCATTGCGATGTACCTCTAGCGGGCCACACCTCCAGCAGCCGATTCTGGAACACGCCTAGCCGTGAGTGGCACGCACAGGGTCACAGCGCACGTTGTCTTGCCAAACTTTACAGCGGGCGTGTCCACAGGCTAATCGCCATGCTTCCTGCAAGGTCGAGTGCGGCTTCGAAGCCCATCTTGTTCCTGTTTAAATGCGGCCTCGCGTCATCATCTGCGCGACGCTCAGACTTCTTATGCCCTGATTGCACTTGCGAGCATTCACTCTGCAAATGCTGCCGCCGTTCAGATTGGCGGCTGAGCCAAAGGGTAATACTAAGCATGATGTGTCTATGAAGAAAGTAAGTGAAGCAAGTGCTGCGATCACACTCAGGTCGGGCTCTGTTTCGCCCTCCGAGTTTCTCGGACAAAGTAGACATCGCAGAGCCCAACATAGGCTCTGGTTGGAGCCGGTCCCTGCGATGTCTGCTTCTCCCGACTGCAAGGCTTCTTCGACGTGCTCCCTCGTGCCTTTCGTTCCGCCACTGTTCCGCACATACCAAAGCTGGTGAC